GAAATATGTCATGGTTGAAATGCCAAGACGGTTGCTTTGTTTCGAGTATCTACATAACAAGAGCCTTGATAAGTATATTTCTGGTACAATAATGATTTTTATCTCTCTTTTCATGCTTATCACTTTAGATTATAAATATTGTGGCATTGTTGAAAATACAAGTGTTGGGTGATCTTATTCTTACATGATTGTATGCTTGTGCGTGTGCTTTGATATACTTTTATAGCTGAATCCTATGGACTTGGGTGGCACATGAGATACAAAATAATCAGGGGAATTTCCTAGGGCTTGCAATACATTCATGAGGAATGCCATATTATTCATTTGGATCTTAAACCTGAAAATATATTGATGGATGACGATATGGGCCCAAAAATTGCGGATTTTGGTATGTCAAGGCTTTTCGGCCATGAACAATCACGGATTATCACTGGAAGTCGTGAGGGAACACTGTAAGCTACTGCTACATAAGTTTGTCAAGTACATACTGCAATGTTTAGTTCTTGTATCATTTCTAATTAACTTCCATGTTATGATGTAGTGGATATATGGCACCGGAATACTTGGCCAATGGATTAATCTCAACCAAATCTGATATATTCAGTTTGGGAGTGATAATCATCGAGGTTATAACAGGACACAGGAATTATCCTCGGATATGCACCAGAGAATCTTTCCAGCATTTCATAGAGGATGTAAGATGAATTTAATTTTAAGCTAGTGTTTTCATAATTTCTCACTATGAAAATTTGTTAGGTAGTTAAGAATTGGAGGGATTGGTTGGAACGAACAGTGGGATGCACATCAATGAAGACTTGTTGCCAACAAATATACACATGCATGGAGATAGGACTCGCTTGTGTTGATCCTGACCCAAAGAAAAGGCCTAGTGCTTGAAATGTAATCCAAAAGCTTAACGAAACAGAGTGTAAAAATTGGTCACATGTAGGCCAGGTAAGATTACTCATCCCATGCTCTATCATAATTCCTTGTGCTAAAACTAGGTATAGAATGGTTGTGTGATGCAGATCCTGGATGTTATCTTCCATTATCTACAAAAACATTTAGGTGTAGAACAAGCGTTCTTTTTGTTACATAGAGCTAGTTTTAGAGCCCATGGAAACATAAGAGACTATCCACAGGAACTCTGCACAGAACAGAGCTCATCATATTATGTTGGGAATGGATGATTATAATTTCAGTTTCTGTAAAGATAGAATGTCCACAGGAACTCCAAATCAAACTAATCATATGGTAGGATTGGATGTTCTTTTAGTTTATATGAAAATAGAAACAATATGGTTTTTGGCGCTCATATTTTGTATAATATGCCCTGTCCCAAAATAAATCAACTTTTGTAAACGAATCTGGACATAGCTATGTCCAGATTCATGTACAAAAGTTGATTACATAGTGTACAAAACTATAGCTATGCCCAGATTTGTGTACAAAAGTTGATTTATTTTGGGTAGGGAGTACTTGTTATCGCAGATTATTTGAACATAGGAGTTTGACCATTAGAATATGTTAGTTACTAGAGCACTATAAAAAGTAATGTGCAATTGTAAAATAAACTATAAAATTTTATAATGCGAGTGTCATGCATCGGTATCTATAGTTTACACTTAACACATAACGATTTCCATCGAATTTTTCAATAGAGGATATGTTAGAACACATGGTAAAATGTCTATAAATTTGTCATATATGATATTTCCTGTAAATTACAAAATAGACAGTGGCATCATAATATAAAATGTAGTCTGTCTCAGTATACTATTATATTTACACACATATTATCATCTTCACACAAATTCGGAAGTGCAAATTGCTGGTATAATCTACATCAATAAATTATATAGGAAATTTGGAGTGAATATATATGCAAATTTTTTGTGCTGGTGCATGCACCATTTGGTTCAATATAACTTTCTATCGGTCAAAAGATTCTAATGCATTAGCAAGTATTTTAAAAGTAAAATTAAAATATTTATTTAATTTGTAATATTTTATGGATTGAAGTGCCTCTTTTACTTCCTTTGGAAATTTCCTATGTGCCTGTACAACTGTCATTCAATGACTCCAGCACCTTGATTTTGAACAATAACATACAAATAAAATCTGCATTCCCAACTGGAGTTCATGCATGTAATTTACTCTTCTCCAATCACATTATACTTCATATAGAAAAATCATGATCCCTAAGTATGACACATCTTTGTCATACAGGCACTACAAATGTTCACCATGAAATCTGCAAACTTATTAGATGATTTAACCATAGCAAGGACTGGACTATCGACCTCAAACACTGCAAAGCAGGTCATTGCTGCAACCTATGTTGACAGCATGCTGGGGGCTAGATCATCTACTTCGAACACCGAAAGCACCGCCGCCGTGTCCTGTGTTCCTGCAAGAAGAAGTATGATAGAGATCATGGCCTTTGGAGTAGCCAAAATACTTGTCAGGGGCTCAAATATGATGAAATCTGATGGTGCTGCTTCTGGAGAAAGAAAAATAGGTATCCTGGCCTTTGAGGTGGCCAACACAATTGTCAGTGGATCAAACCTTATGAAATCCCTCTCTGAAGAAAGTGTGAGTCATCTGAATGAAGTTGTGCTTCAGTGTGAAGGTGTCCGCACTCTGATTTCAGAACAGTACTATCAATTGCTCATTATTCATCAAGCTGACATAAGGTAAGCTATGCATTTTCATGTGGATGTTTTGTAGATGAACTTTCCAAGATTACTTATATATATATTTACTGCAAACTATGCAGAGAACAGTTGAGAAGATTTGCTTTAGATGTTATTAGGCTTGGAAAGCTGTGCAAAGATCCTGTATGGCGCAACTTGGATCTTTATTTTAACAAGTAAACAAAACATAATGTTCTTCTGCTACTTTGACCCTGCAAATACAACTTTTTACCATGAATTTTTACCAGCTAATTTATAGTGGAGCTCATTGATTCATCTCCATTCATGTATCCCTTTTTGCTCTTCTTGTCAATGTAGATTAGAGCTACTTTACAAATCTCGAGAATACGTTATTTTGGAATCAGAACTGGCATGCAGCAAAGAAGAAGCAGTTTCTGCAATGCAATATCTATTAAAACGTGCACAATACACCATGGTCAGTGATTCATACTCTCTAATTCATGATAATTGTCTTTTTGAAATCTTGTTGCCTTTTCTGTTCTCTCATTCTATTAATTGCCAGGAACTGTATAAGGAAATGTGTGTGTTGGACAAGTTCGAACAGGGGAAACCTACAGTGGTACAAAGTGGTTTGTAACTTTGTATTAAATTTTTGACATAGGCATCCAAATAAGATACAAATTTAATGTGAATATTCTCTTGCCGGTTTCAATAAAACCGCTGCCGTATGCAGGTATAACAATTAGTTCAGTGAAGAACCAAAGGATTGCTGTGGCAAACCTGCAGAAGAAGTCACTTTGGTCCAAGAAGATGGATGATGTAGTGCAACATCTTGATATGTCATCAATATTTGTTCTATCTGATCCATATCTTACAATAATGCTCCATATGTTCTGTTGCAGATTGTACAAAAACTTGTAGACATTGTGCTGCTCATTTATTTGGAGATCAACAAAGTTTTTTTGCATACTGGTGAAGACCATTATGTAGAGGCAGTGGGCAACCTGCTTGGGGAAACGTTAGGTTCCACTGGACTTGCCTTGCAATATTCAAAAGTTATTTTGCAGATAAATAAACTGGTACATCACTGTTTCTCTGGTGCTATGCCATCTTCAACATGAAAAATGATATTAAATTACCACTTAATGGTCAGATATTGACATTGTTCTTTCTTTAGATTATGCCTTGTCCTATATTTTTTTATGACTTCATTGTTTTCAGGCATTGGCCTTTGAGAAAACCGATCCCTCAGTCTTGAAGTCTGTTCCTAAGGAAGCTAAAGATGCATTATACCAAATGCTTCCTCCTTGCATCAAATTAGTATTTTATAGAAAGTTGAAGCCGTTTTTGTCCATAGATAAGGTAGTCTCTCTTTTACAACAACTCAACATGAGAAATATCATACAGTATTCATCTATTTCAAATTTGATCTCAGTACTAATATTTTATCGTAGACATCTGAAGAAGAGGTCAGAGCTGAAATGAATAGAATGTTGCAATGGCTTGTGCCAATTGCTGAATCCACAAGGTAATATTAACTATTAAAGATGATCATATAAATTAAGAAGCATAGAAGGTTATGTACAAGAACGAGTGGATAATAGAATGTACAAAGGAAGAGAGTTCTAAATATTACATGTATCTAGCCATGTTTTCATATGAATTATTAGTTCCTCCTTCATCCTGTATAAATGAGCAAAAATAAAGGTGCATCAGCACATGATTAGAATATCATCTCAATCTCAATCTGTACTGTTCAATTTGCATCTAATGGTGACAAACACACATGGACAAGAACACAATACAAATAGAGAAATCTAGAAAATGAATGTAGAATCTGCCATACTGACAATATGGACTGTTTTGTCAACTAAGTAATGCATGACACGTGGAGAATTAACTTGTAATTTCTTATTTCAGTAGCAGATGTTTCTGAAAACTTAAATGTCTACAAAAACTTATGCCTCAATCCAAACTCATAATGACAAATAACATTAAGCAATGCCACAACAAGGGTTGTTAATTGTATTGTATTTCTATCACAATTATGATTTTGTTGGACAATGCGTTTCGTAACAATCTTATCCCAGCTACGTTGCTTGCTCTGATATATTTGTTGACTTGCCTCAAAGTATTTTCTAAAATGGGTGGTATGTTCAATAAGCCTTTTCCTTGTTCTCCGTGATTACCAGATTGTATCTATAAAAACTCTAGTTTTCTTTTTTTTTGATAGAAAAAAAAAACTCTAGTTTTCGGTGAGGTACGGCTCGGTGTTGCGCAGCCTGGCACTGTTCCACTGTTCACTCTAATTTTGGCCGTCCGATCCTTCCGCGAGTTGTTTTGGCCGTCCATCGAAACCCTAGCCGTAATCACGCCGCGCCTTCCCCTCACCGGCGTCGCCAGTCCCTCTCCTCCTCTCCCTCCTGTCTCACCGACCCGGCGCGAAGACGATGAAGGCACCAGCGGAAAACAAGAGAGAGGGGTGGAGTGCCGCGGCACCGATGGCGCCGGCCGCTTCCCGCGGTGGATCCGACGGCGACGACGGTGCCGGCGGTTTCCCCCGGCCCGATCCACCCGCGGCAACGGCTTCCCGTGGTGGATCTGACGGCGATGACGGCGGTGGCGGTTGCAACAGCTACGATATACTGGGCAAGCTGCCTTCGTCACCGGGACGAGATGGTCGCCGCCGCTGCCGATCTGAGCCCGACTCCTGGCCACCCTCGAAGCTCCTCCCCACATTGAAACTTCTAGAAGATCCTTCATAGTCCCTCCAAGCTATTTTTATTGTCCCTTCAAGTTCGATTCCCCCCACAACCGATCCAAAGATCGGGTCGTCGTAGCCATTGCTGCAGCTCCAGCTATCTCAGGCTCCTCCAGGAGAGCCCAATCCGTGGTAATCCTCCTTCAATCCTCTCCTTCCTGCACCTGACCTATTTCTTCCCGTTATTGTTGTTTGCAGTCATGTAGTTCTTCCCCGTCATTGTTGTTTGCAGTCATGTAGTGTTGCTGCTACACCAGGTTCCCTGCGTCTCCTCCACTCAGCCTGCTGCTGACCTGCTTCCATTTAGTTAAACCAATGTTATGTAGTAGTCACATTTTTTAGAGGACACCTGGTGGAGATTCAGGCCTCCGAAGCTCGAGGGCTACATTGTGCAGTAGTTTCCAAGAGAACTAAACTAAGATCAAGAAATTCATGTTTGGACTGCACCTAAATTTATGAGTTATGATGCAAAATAGTTGTATATGCTGTTTTTCATTATTACATATAAAATTTAGCTCAAATTGGAATGGACTTATATATCAATGTTGTGACAGATTATTTTGTTGCCCAATTTAAATTAGACTATCAATGGAAGTTCTGCAAAAGCAAGATACAAAATATAGAACATCCGATGGTGTGTTAGGAGGATCGTTTCCACCCATTGGTTGCATCTGTAATTTGTGCTCTTTTTTTCCCAGGGGTTGGGGGTTCAGAGGTACTGCCTGCTAGCTTCTATGACTCTAGCTGTGTGTGCTGCTACTATCCATGTATTTCCTTCTATCTCTTGAATTATTCATGTTTCCTTTAAATCCATCTAGGTCAGACCAGACATCAGTGCATGAGAATAGTGTTAAGAACCAGTTCGATTTGGGTGAGTGCATAGCCTTAACATCATGTCCATGTCCTGTCGAATATATTCTTTGTGAGTCAAAACGTGAGGGAAAGGCCGCTATATTAGGCAAAACAAATAAGAGGTGAGCTAACAACCAATGTGTCATAAATTTGTTAGCCTTTGTTCTATATTTTGTAGTGTTACTTTTCTTTATGTACCATGAAGTCTTTCCGCCATGAATGCCCCCTATATCAGACCTGAGTACCCAATCCCTGTTCAATTCATAGAGATCTGTAAAGGTTAAGAAATTAAGCATCCCACTCTAATTTTCCCTGTTTTTTTTTCTCTGTGGTTTTGCTCTGCCTGACCCTGATTGCTTGATCTGTTTCCTGCAGTTGCCGCTAGCTGTGATGTGAGGCTACTATCTGCAATTACATGTGGTGATGGCTTCCATGTCAAAATTGGTGGTTGAGGGCTAATTTGATAATATTGCTTTGAGGACTAATTCAGCGTTGAGGACTAATTCGATAATATTGCTTCATCCCACATAATGTCGTGTATACTGAAATATTCAGCGATATCGCGAATCAACGTGCTTAATTTTACCAGGTATTCTCATCGCTATGTTTCTATGTTTATATCTTGCATCGATTGGTCTAACATCTATATATTTCACTATTTCCAGATTGTAGTGCATGGTGCCCAAAATCATCAAATTGAGAGATATATGATGTGTTATGCTTCTTCCGTGTGGTTGTATGTTCCCACTGTAGTGTGCAGTTCTTCACCTAAATACAAAGGTAATTTTCTTTTAAAGTTATTATTTGTTGATCTTCCCTTGGATATACATGGGTTCATCATTTTTGTGTACCCTCATGTCATATGGTCTCAAACTCTGCATTGGATGGCACGAAATACAGGAAATATTGATGCATATATTTTTTCCCTTCCTCTAAATTGCTTACTGCTGTAAATGAAAAAAAAAATACATTCAGTTAAATAGTTGTGTCTCCACATACACAAACACACACAAAAAAGGTAGTCCTATTGTTTTTTACTTCTTAAAGCACACTATAGTATGTGCTATTTACTCATTTTATTTTCAGCTCACTGAAACAGATTACGGATAATTATGTATGTATACTGAGCTCAGTATAGTTCAAAACAGCTTCTGTTGTTTTACTTTGCCAAGACTTGCAACTTTAATTTTATCATATTACTTTTTTTTTTCAAACACAACCGAACACATTCTTTTTTGATTATTTGGCAGTAATATCATGGCATTCTACTTGATTCCCTTTTCTCATATGTTCATGCAGGTTGATCAAGTTGTTTATTGGTGCCATCTATTTGTTGTTATCCTGGTAGTCTACTATCGATGCAAAGTTGCAAACGACAACCAAACCCAGAGGCTGACCATTATCATTTCCTTTCCTTCATTCAGTTACAATGCTACAAACTTTTCCATGTTTGTTGTTGTGCGTACCTCTATATGTAATGCACTATGCAAAATCATTAGGTTGTATATGCTACCACCAATATGCACACACTTGGTCTTTGATGATGTTCTTATGCCTATGATGTACCGTATTTGTTAATGTGTGTATTGAGATGCTGCAGTTCCTGTTCATTTGCCAATATTATTGACACGCCGTATGCATTAGTAAACTAATATGCTATTAGCAATGTTCAGGGCTTCAGGCACATCTAATTTGCTATCTTTTACTCCTATACGTTTGCAATGTTTAGATTATCCACACAATTCTTATTTTACCAAAATATTGTATTGTATTTGTTGATGTCTCTTCATCCTTTAGTTTTTTTATGCTTTTTATTGGGTCCGCGGCAAAGGCCGCGGGGGGTACGACCTAGTTACAATGATGGAGCTAGCGAACAGGCGATGAACAGGTACGGTAGAGCATTATAGCCTAACTAGTTTCACTTCTTTTTATTTCTTAAGTTCGTTGTTCATCATTTAACTCTTTGTTTGGTTTAGCTTTAATCATTTAATTTGAATTAATCTTGTCTCTTCCATCAGTTCAATTAGCCCAAGATTAGGGTGGCTATACCACCAATCAGTGGTGCTCATCAAATAGACTTAGAGAGTGACCATCTACTCCCTCAGTCCCAAATTATAGGGCAACTTCTTTTTTAAAAAAATCAAGCTCAGTAACTTTTGACGAATAATAATATTAACCATATATATGCTAAATATTATGTATGTTATATCACTAGATTTATATTTTAAAGTACTTTCATCTGATGCTAATTTTCATCTGATGCTAATTTTATATTTGTTGGGAACATAACATGGAATAAATTAATGGTCAAAGTATGTCACTGAAGACCATGTAGAAAAAATATAGGCTTATAATTTGGGACTAGATTTATATTTTAAAGTACTTTCATCTGATGCTAATTTTATATTTGTTGGAAACATAACATGGAATAAATTAATGGTCAAAGTATGTCACCGAAGACCATGTAGAAAAAATATAGGCTTATAATTTGGGACGGAGGGAGTATTTGTTAAGTGACAGTTTTTTTTGTCATTAGTCACTCTTCTAAGTAGATCAACATCCAAAACTCACAAATTAGCAATTTAATCTGTAAAAGAACAAAAAGGTTGTACCAAGAGTATACAAGTTTAGTCAACACACCGTACAAATTTAGTGGAACGACAACCAAGAAAAAAAATTCAGGCAACTACAGTGAGCAAAATCATCATATATAAAAACACGCATCCGGGTGAACTCTTAAAAAAAAAGAACATACCAGATTAAAAGATGCACCAAAGTTGGTAAAAGATTTTGTGCAAGTCTAAACTGCAGTTGGTCTAGGACCTCTAGGTGACTGACAAATAAGAAATTTCCTGGCAACTGATAAATAGCAAAACAAAAAAAAGGAATAACAGTTCTTCCACGGCATTCCAACTTCCTATTAGGCATGAAAACTGAATAGAGTTTAGACTATGCAAAATACATGCAAGACAAAGGGCAGATATAGCTTGTCCAACATCCCTTCATTATTTTGTTTCTTTGGACCAGGATGGAGGATGCCGACGACGTGCAAGACTTTCACTGCAATATTATCAGAAGCCGATCGAATAATTCTGCAGATTCCAGGGTGAGCAAGATAGAGACATTGTTCTATGCCAACAAGGAGAGGACAGGCAGCCACATTTTGTGCTTGGTGAAGGCTCTTCATCAGCTGGTTTGCTATGAGAGAGAGGCAGCTGGCCAACATGAGGCTGGATATTGAACTGCACCGGCCACGGGCTTTCCGGACCAGGCCTAGCTAGTTAGCATGTCTGAGCCATATATGCAGACTAGTTGATATCCCGCGCTTTGCTACGAAATATGTGAATGAATGCATGTTATATATTATAGAAATGATAGATGTATATACCTAAATAATTAAAGAGTTGGTGATGGTGTACCGTGGGACGAACCGGTTTCCGAGGACACAAGACAGTAGTGGCCTGTTGTATGATGGTAGGTTTTGTGCGGTTATCTGCCAAGAAAGCCTCGTTCGCTATCCCTTCAGGAGAAGGTTTTATGTATGAATAGCTTCGCTTGGCCATTGGAAGCCATAGCCCCCATAAGAAAGAAGATGCTAAAAATGGGATAAAACCACACTTGTGATATCCCTAATAGAGTGCCAACCATAGTTTCATATTGCTTTTGCGTTTCGGACGTTGTTAGTCGGTCATATTTTGCATTTAAATCCTTGTGTTTTTCTATTCGCATATAAGCCCAATATTTGTAGTATGCTCCCCTAAATATCACAAACATATATAAAGACCCACACCTTCCCTCTCCCTGTCTTCTTTCGCCTCTCCTCTTCCCCTTCCTCGGCGACACCACCTCTCCCGTCAGCTTTCCCTTCTCAGCTGCGCCGCTTCTGCCCTCCCTCTCTTTGACGCCACCGCCAAGAAGGCGATGAGCTCGAGCTCCCCTCTACCTCCCTGGCGTTGATCGATGCGGGGACGACAGATAGATGTACTGGAGGTGGGGATCGATGTGATAACGACAGAAAATCGACGGCGGAGGTGGGGATCAACGTGGCGGCGGATCGATGTAGCGGTGCTCAGGGTGGCCAAGTAGCAGGCCCGGAGGTGGTGGATCGGTGAGCCTCCCAAGTAGGCCATTCTCTCCCATCCATCCCCTCGCCATATCTTCTTTCCCGGTGTGGGGCAACGACACGGGGCGATGCCTCTTCCCAATGCGGTTCCTCACGCTTTCCTCGCTACGGCTCTGACGAAACGCGGCGCTCTGCTGTGGGTCGCGTAGTTCTGCTAGGGTGCGGTCCCATCCGAGCTGGCATGAATATTTCCCTCGGGCAGGGCTAGACCACGCTCTAGCTTGGAGCGTTGGCCATGGCCTTAGAACACATGGTTTTTTCATACGTGTTAGTTTAATTAATTCTCGTGAAATTAATTACTTTAAAATGTTGTTTGTGTGAAAAGGAGAAGTTGTTTATTCTTAGACTGATTTGCTCGTTAGGCTAGATATTTTAACCATAGTTTCGCATTGAACTAGGGCATAACCATCCTTTTCACTTAACACCATGCAAATTTGTTCTTCTAAATTATGTGTGTTATATGGCTTGAGTTGCCAAATATAGTAAGTACAAGATAGAGAATAGGAACGGGGTGCTAACTTATATGGTGATTGAATTGGTTACATTATGTAGATTTGAGTTGTCAATTTGGGGGTTTGGTGCAATGTTTCTCGCCCCCTTCTAATCTGCAAGACTGCAAATTTATGTGGTTTTAGTCCACGATATGTAGTCCAATTTGCCATTCACTCTTATTTTTTATTTTAATTGTTAGAGTTTATGTCGAATATGTGTATATAGTCGGTTACAGTTTAGAAATTGGAATAGAGTAAGAGTCGGACTCTATCCTTGGATCTCTCTTAAATAGAGAGGTGGACCTGTTGTAACTGCATGGTGACTTAGCATAGCGAGAGGGAGCAGCTGCTAGCGGCGACCGGCCGTGAGTCGTTGTAACTCTGATACGCTGTAATATGCTGGATCCGGGAGGAGCGCCCGTAATCAGTGCCTCGGAGATGTAGGCCTCGGCTGAACTCCTTTACCAAATATCATGCCTCGGTGTCATCATCGTGTTTGGATCTCCTATGGCGTTTCTTTCACGTTTAGCTACCGATGTTGATTTTGGGACTGGTTTTATAACATTAATGTTCTTAGGAAACACCATCATGTTGTAAAACATGTTTTTGGAATTAGTTAAGCTTTTGTAGACCATTTGAGATATAATTTGTTTGTGATATCTTTTTTTCTTCAACCTCTTATAACGATTTGTGTAGCATAAAAAAACAAGAGTAACCATGAGGGCTTTCCTCGTCACCGACGGAGTCACGGGATCCGTTTGTCACGTCCTGCTGCCTCGTGTAGAATTTTTACATTTTGATCATTTTTAAAAATTTATTTTACAAATAGACCCCTGGAAAAACTTAAACCAGGAATGGTCCTTTTTGGGGCGCCAGAGTGGCTGGCGCCGTCCTCCAACATGGTGGTGCCAGCCACCATGGCGCCGCGCCCGTGCCACCGTGACACTAGAGCTGTCGTGGCGATGCTGACTGAGCAGAAGGGGGCGCCAGCCACCCTGGCGACGCCCCTCATACGACGGCGCTAGCATGGCTGGCGCGCCCCTCTTCTGTGGGCCGCGCCCTTAAACCCCGTGGGCCCCACCACCTTTCTCCTCCCCACTCCCATTTTCGCCTGAGTCCTAGCCTGAGCCGCTGCTTGCTGTTCTTCTCCCTCTCTCTCCCCCTCACCTCTCCACCTCAAATCCACTCGATTTGAACTCGTTTTTCGCGGGATTTTTTGTGGAAATCGAAGAGAAAGGTAGACTCCTCCATTCCCCCCTCTTTTTTTTTCGTTTTTATTGGTTGAATTTGTAGATCGGAGGGTAACCCTAGAACCTCTTTTTAGCCCAAATTTTGTGATTTTTAGCATTTGTTCTTGGGATTAGCTTGTTGTAGTGCTACATGTTTGCAATGTACTCATTGGTGTCACGATTTTTTGAACCATATATGTGGTAATGTTATTTTTGGATGGTTTGGTTAGATGGATAGATGAAAAATTAGGGTTGAGGCATGAAAGTAATTTTAATTTGATGGACTTGATGCTATAGCCTATAGGTTAAACTTTTACTCATTAATTATATGAAGGGGAGAAAATTTTGGTTGCATTATAGAAATTAATTATAGTTACTTAGAACTAGGTTGGGTTGTATGACGGAGTATTTGTAATATTTCGATGTGTAATGCGCTAGTAAACTTGTTGATATTTGTAGGTGGATTAAATATTTTTTTGTGGAGTAGTAGCTTTGAGACAATTTAAGTTATACATTGGTTATAATATGTCGGTTTGGACTACGTTTAGGAAGGAAGATTTAATTTTAGTTGTAAAGTTACATTTGATTTTTTGGTGTAGATGGATAGACTTGTTCGTGTTTACTACGGTGGTTCGTCGTCCAAGTATCGCTCGACACTCCATCAGGATAGAAGAGCGTGAAGAAGTTGGTGGTTTGTCGTCGTCACGCATTCCACAAGGGAGGGGAAAGGGGAAGGCGCCGGCTCCACCTAGCGACGACGATGACGAGGAGGATGAGGACTACGTCGCACCAGACGCTGAGGAGATAGACATGTCGCAGCTTCCCGATGCGCCTCAGGGGACGCAACCCACCCAATACAACTTGCGATCCACTCAGGCAGCGAAAAAGAGGTAAATGAGTTTACCATTCTCAAATGTTATTTGATTTCCCTCATTTTGTTTTTAAATGTTTTAAACATTGGATTTTCAAATGTAGGTACACTCCGGGCTCGCAAGCTATTCGGCGCCAACAGAAGAAGTGATTAACTATGAAGTTAATCTATTTGTTAGTAGTATGACGTATGTGGTGCACTATGTGATAGAAAATGTGATGGACTATGTGAGGACTATGTGATGGACTATATGATGGACTTTTGGCATTGTTTCATGTGTAGAATATGTGAGGACTATGTGATGGACTTTTGGCATTGTTTGATGTGTCAAATATGTGATGGACTTTTGGCATTGTTTGATGTGTGGAATATGTGATGGATTATGTGAGGACTATGTGATGGACTTTTGGCATTGTGATTTGTGCAATTGGAACTTGTTTTAGTCTGTATGAAACTATGAATTGTGATTTGTATTGCGAACTGTGAATTGGTACATTTGTGCAATATAGATTTTCGATTTGCAGGGAGGCAGAGGGCGGCGCCAACCACCCTGGCGCCGCAGTTGGGGAGGGCGGCGCCAGCCAATGCCACGAGGCAGAAGGGTTTCGGGGGGAGGAAGGTGGCGCCAGCCACCCTAGCGCCGCGGTCCGTGAGGACGGCGCCAGCCGTGGCCCAGAGGCAGAAGGTCCTAGGGGGGAGAGGGGCGGCGCCAGGATGGCTGGCGCCGCGGTCTGGGGGGCAGCGCCAGCCATTGCCCGGAGGCAGAAGCTCGGGCTGGAGACTTGGCGAAAATGGGAGTGGGAGGAGAAAGTTGGTGGGGCCCACAGAGGAGGGGGTGCGCCACCCATGCTGGCCCCGTCGTATGCGAGGCGGCGCCAAGGTGGCTGGCGCCCCGCTCTACCGAGTCAGCAATGCCACGTAGCCCTGGTGCCATGGTGGCACGGGCACGGTGCCAATGTGGCTGGCGCCGCCATGTTGGGGGACGGCGCCAGCCACTCTGGCGCCCCAAAAAGGACCATTTTCGGTTTAAGTTTTTCTAGGGGTCTATTTGTAAAATAAGTTTTCAAAAAGGACCAAAATATAAAAATTCCAGGTTGCCTCGTAACTGTTGGTTGATTTTTATTATCTAATGCCGGTTAGTTGGGATAAGAATAAAATCTTACTGGTTTCCTTTCCTAACAAGAATCAATAAGAGATAAAGTCTATTTTTGTGTGATCGGTACAAAAACACATTCAGATTCTAATTAGAGATAAAGCCATTGAGTCCCACCAGTGTCCTATATAAGAAAGAGTAGAGAAAATAGAGGTGACAACTGAACTCTCTCTAACCCTAAAACCCTAAATCAATTCGTCCGATCGATTTTGAACCCTAAAACCCTAAATCAATTCGTCCGATCGATTTTGACATTGGAAGGGGTTCGTGAGAGTTTCCTTTTCGTCAACCGGAGAGCGTAGCAGAAGAGGAGTGAAGGAGAAAAGCAAAGGAATAACATCAAAACCACATACCGGTTTCAATGGCTTCATTCTCAAGCCAGTTAGATCGCCCATGTAATTAAGCAGAGGTGATTATGTTTAGACTAAGACTCAAAGTAATTAAGAAGATTAAACTCCAACAGTAACCAACTCCATTTCCTCGCCCCTGTCGTCAACCCTGCCAATAAGCAGGTTAGCACTTAGGCCCTGTTTCTTTCGGTTTGAGATTATTATAATCTAGATTATTGAGTCAGATTACTATAAGCTAGATTGTTATAATCTGTAGTAGAATAAGCGGTTAGTTGTTTCTTTCCTAGATTATTAGAGCCTAAATTATTGGGTTTGCAAGTCTAAAGAGAGAGTGGGGTGGTATGGTGGGTAATTTTTCACTCAATAATCTGGAAAAAGCTCACCTAAATGAGCTTATCAGATTATAATAAGTTGGGCTCCAGATTATAATAAGCTACTTCAATAAGTTGTATGTTTCTTTCAGTTTACTCTTAGTAATCTGGATTATAATAATCCCAAACTGAAAGAAAAAAGGCCTTAGCACCCTCGGCTACTATGCCTCGTCGTTGCACCGCCAAGAACAGCAACAGGTGATGGAGAGAGATGAAGGTTGAAGAAAATACAAGAGACGTTGGATATCAAACCAATGGTGAGATTCAATCGACTATCTCCTTCAATCGTCTGATAAATAGGAAAGCCGTACAAATAATCACTAAATAGGAAGAAAACTAACTAAACAACCCCCCTCCTCTCTTAAAAAAAACAGTGCAAGTTTGTTCGCCCCCAAAAGAAAAAGGAAAGAAAGAGAGGAAAATTTGTACCGCTGCATAATTAATGTGAAAAAAAAAGAAAAAAAATAAATTTTACAGACTCAAGTGTGTAACCCTCTTACTCATACTGGTTGTTCTTGTGAATCCAGTAGTACAGGCATATGTACAACAAAGGTGCATGATTGCATCCCAGGGCCTCACTTAATAAGTACAAGAAACAAACAAACAAAAAAAAAACAGAGAAAAAACAAAAAATTACACTCACCTAGCTAACTAAGCAATTATATGCCACACTTGCTGCTGATGGTGATTAAAAGCTCCAGGTTGATCCACCGGGTTAACTAATAATTAATTAAACCACCCAAGCTAATCACTAATTAGGAGACAGTAATTAATTAAAAAAACATTCTGTCCGTGACGTCACTTCTTCTTGGCGATAGCGCCGCCGCCGCCGTCGTAGCGGCGGCTGCTGCTGCCGCCGCCGCCGCCGCTCCTCACCTCCTCCGGCGCGATGAACGACTCCGGGCAGAGGCCGGCGACGTTGAAGGCGACGTCGTCGATGGTCCACGCCTCCTCCATCCGCGTGACGGCGCGGGCGGCGCCGACGTCGGCGCCGAAGCGGGCGAGGTGGGCGACGGAGGTGCCCGCGTGCGCCACCACGGCGCCGTCGGCGGCGCGGTAGTCGCCGAGGCGGGAGGAGACGGTGGTCTCCCAGTACATCGCCGGCGCGCCGGGGGTCTGGATGCGGGTGAGCTGCGAGTCGTCGAGGCGGGCGAGGAGGCCGCTCCGCTGGCTGAAGTAGCCCGTCATGCCGTGCCGGATCACCTCCGCCGCGCCGTCGCCCCAGGCGGAGAGCACCGACGGCGCCACGTCGAGCCGCAGCGCGAAGCAGTCCTCGCCGTCGACGGCCTTCTCGCCGACGTGCTCCGCCGCCGAGAACACCGACGCGATCGTCACCGGGTCCAGCCCCTGCACATGCACAGCCATGCACACATGTACGATCGTCAGCACCGACACTTCATCGGCATGCACACGTGGACGCTTCTCATTGGTGCAGATGCATTGTCTATATTCTACTCAATCCATCCTAAAATATAAGTAATTATGCTTCAGATTCATTTCAGATTCATAGTAATAAGATATTTCATTCAACCAAAATCTTTAGGACACTGACGTGTCTACGATTTTTCTATGGGTGGTCCAAATTATATATATTTTTCAAATAACCTAAATATAACAAAGTTAAAAGTATAAATGGATCAAATGTACATTATAATATATTAAATATGAGCTCTTTTTTTTTCTCAAAAGTTTTCTTTTCACATATATGTATATTTATGCATTGGGCTAGGATTTTTTTAGTGGTCGTATGACCACCGGGATCATCCTCTAGATCCGCCTATGCTTTAGGATGGAGAGAGTATCCGTTTCATATTATTATAAGATCTTTTAGTTTTATTCCAAAGTCAAATTTTCTTACTTTCACCAAAATTATAGAAAATGCACTAATTGTTCACCATTGCATTGCATTATTTTGCTCCTATTTTTCCTGTAGTTTTAAAATTTTGTTAGGTAAACTCATTGATGGGGCATCAATTTTGTTTCATAATTAAAGATATAAAGGCTCATGGCATGGCCTTTTTATTAGACATCTAGACAGATTCATTACTGTGGTACAGTGTTCATATAGGATGCCATTGAGCCCTATGAGGATGAAAGGTGCTTGGTAGTAGCATCTTTTTGGAGTCCTATGTCCTAGAACTGTTGTTATTGAGAAAAGGTTGATGTCCTTATGCTGTTCCAAGGACATCTCTGCTCTCTTATGGATGTAAATATGAGCCATAAATTCAGAGGCAAGAACATGCAGGTGCAGTGTATTTTATTGTGCCATGGGAGACAAAAAAGAATGCTGTGTGAAATAGAAAGCCAGTACACTTGTATGTTGTATCAAACACATCATGCCCAAAGCTCCTCTCTTTTCACAGTACAAAAACAGCTAAGACACTCTAGGATGCCCACTGATATCTGTTCAGCAGTATTCACTATAGTACAGAGCATCCAGCATAGGATACTGTTGAGAGTAACCCCCATCCAGTTTCATTTCACACACTTTTGCCAGAGAGATTTGGTGAAGTTTGGTGTGTTGGCAATTATACAGCATGACCAGCATGCAGTGCTGTGTGATTATGTACTAAATTAGTACTAACCTGACATGGGGACTATGATGTGTTCCATCTCCATTGTTGATCTGGGTCAGCTAATCAATTGCCAGAAAGGTACATCTCTTAATGATACACCATGCATGTAAATGATCCCAGTTATTCTGATAGTCTGATTGGGTTTCAGAAAGACTAAGCAAACTGTTTCAGTGTCTATAAGGAAAATAACATGGATGCAGACTCTCACTCAAAGTGGTTTAACATGATGTCCCATGTTCAACAGAAGCTTAACTTTCTTTGCCATGCTGATGTGAGGCAGCTTACAAAAAGTCTAAATCAATTGACCTAATAGACCAAATTGGTGTAACACTCAGGACAGATACACCTACTTAGATACGCACTGCTGCATCCTAAAAATATTTAAAACTATTTGATAACATGAAGATTTTCAGAAATCAGAATGCATGAGTGGCAGTGCATCCAATTTTCCTACTGCCAAGCTGTTAAAGCTGTACTAGCCAATCATAGTAGCTAGAGATTTCAAAGGACAGGTCAGTGGCCTAACCATAATCATAATCCATGCTCTTTTATTTGGTCCTCCTATGAGGACCGGATAAAATGGTTTTTCAACTAGCTATCTCAGCAGTTGCTAGAATATCCAGATATATATTAAAAACAGTACTAGTCGATCGGCTAATGGTATGTTCAGATATCTTGGTTAACTTTCACCAAAGAAGAATGATACTACTACTTGGCACTAGAGTATCATCAATTTCAGACACAGATTTATACTAGCCTCAGTTTGCCAAATTGCTCAAGATATATGCCTCAAAAGCCAATCTTGTAAACAGACGAGTGCTACTTAGAAGGAAGCAAAGTCTGCGGACTCTGCATCCTCACAGAAAGTTTTTTTCAAGAGTATCTCAAGAGTGATCTGAATTTTTTTTTCAGGAAATGAGGGGCAGCAGCCTCAGATCCCGAGGTGAAACAGTGGAAATGAAAGAATGCCATATCTGCACCTTTATTTTCAGCCAAAGATTCTTCTTTCACAAATGCTCCCCAATTCTTCACCCTCTTTTTTTGCGAAATAATACTCCCACACACCCAGCACACAAATTAAAGCACAAAAGGCAAAGGCGAATTCAGCAAAGCGATCCACAAAAAGAAAAGCAGCGATTTCTACGTACACGCTCATACACCTCTCACATTGCTTTTGGGTAGCTTCCCAGTGTACTCCGACATACATAAATTTCAGCTTAAATTTTTGTCTAGAGATACTTGTTATTTCTCATTCAAAATGGTTTAAATGTTTTAAATATATATACATGCTCACATTTTTTAGGATAAAGGAAGAAACTTTTATTGTTGAACTTGGACAATTATATCAAGGCAACATCTACATAACTAAGCATACAGCCAAACCTATTCGCATCGTTCTCCGAAAAAGAGTTTACATCATTGATAAAGGAATAGGTTTCCAAAGATAAGATCACCTAATGTATGTCTGTATGTGCTTGCAAAATTATCAGGTATTTTGGTCACTTTTTTTATAAAAAAAATGACATGTTTTTTTTTTTGACACATTGGTAATTTCTATTCGCCATTCGAACAAAGGCCCCATGTATATATTTGAAGAATACACATGAAGTACTCCTATTTATTTTCTTATGAATTCCTTTGTACGTTACGTATGCTTGTACGTACAAAATGTATGCGTACGATTTTTTTTTTTCGTTTTGATTTCTTTCGGTTTAGACATTTATAAGTCTAGATTGCAATGCAAACTAATGCAAAACTAATTATTTTTTTGCCTAAACTGAATTTTAATCGGATTAGAGGAGGAGCTAATCAGAATGGCCAAATGGCAGGGACATGCGGGGTGCCAACCTGGAGGGCTCGCCGGAGAGGTCTCGCGCCGCCGCCGCGCGCGGCGTGGGCGTCGAGCCAGGGCGTGCGGCGCCACGCGACGCGGCCGTCGCAGCCGGCGGCGACGGCGTGCCCGGCCACGGCCATCTCGACGAGCCACATGTCCGGCACGAGCTGCCACACTACGAAGCACCCCTCGTGCCCGCCTCCGCCGCCGCCGCCGATGCCGATGCCGCCGCCGGGCTCCGGCGCCATGGCCATCCGCACCCTCCCCGCCGCGTACATGCTCTTCGCCGCGCCCTCGATCTTGGCGCACCCCGTCGTCGCCCGGAACTGCTCGAGGATGTACTGCGCCGACGACGCCACCTGCACGACACGACACACACGCACGACGTCGTGAGCGCGCGTAGCACGAAGAGGAAGTCCGGCAGAGCGAGACGCGGCGGCGGCGACGGCGAGACGTACGTTGCGCGGGTGGCGCGGGAGGACGGGGACGGGGGAGAGCGGGCAGGCGAGGACGGAGAGGAGCACGCGGAGGTCGGGGGAGGGGCGTCCGCCTCCGCCGCCGCCGCCCACGCCTCCGCCACCTCCCCCACCGGAAAGAAACCGGAGCGGGATGCGCGCCCGCGCCCAGCGGTGGAGCGCCGCGTGCAGGCCGGTCTTCCGCCGCGCCCGCGCCGCCTCCTCCCCGCCCCCCGGCTCCTCCGCCAGCGTGGCCAGCTGCGGCGCCATGGACGAACACCTTCGTTGCCTCAGCTCAGCTCAGCTCATCACTTGTGTTAAAAAGGAGGGAAGAGAAGAGACAAGGGGGAGTTTGACAGTGTCTGGATGGTGGGCCCGGGGGAGGTTGGGTTGTGGGGCCCACTGGCAGGGAGGGTGTGACTGTATGCCTGGAAGGTGGGGCCCAGGGCTTTGGGAGAGCTTTGAAGGGAGGCAAGAGGATTGAGGGGGTCGGGGGAGGGTCTAAATCTTGGGTGTGAGAAATTGGAGCTATTTTAGCACTAAATGCTGGTATGGGATAAAACATTTTGATCATGTTTTTTTTCCTACTATTTCAACATCGATTTTTTACGGCTAACTATTCTTTGGTATGTCATGTACCTGCTGAAAACAAAGCGCTTATAGCAAGTTCGTCAATCTATTGATATGCTGGCCCAATCTTTTAGAGAGGCTTATAAGGGTAGGAATAGGATGTATGAAAGTATGTTTGTGGGGTGAGTGTGCATGTATTTATATAAACGTTTGTGTTTGTGCTTTTTTTTAAAAAAAAAGAAAATATACACCAGAAAAGAATTTCTTAATAATTTCATATTATTTATGTATGCAAATTCAATGTTCAAAGTTTTAATGACAGTGCATGTTTGCGGATAGGGGTAAAAATATTTTTAAACACAAAAATAAAAACAGTGTACAATCTAAGACAAGGGAGAAGCCTAAGAAGAACAGTGGATTTGACAGATCAAAACTAATTAAGCATGAAGTCCATGAAGAATAATGAGCAACATGACATTTCGGTTTAGCAACAAGAACTTGCTGTTGGTGTGGTAACCCATCCTGGGGTGATCTGATGGCCACCTGACCTGGAGATTACATATTGCCAAATCGTTGATGATTCCTCTCAAATCATGGCATTTTCAGAATGATCTCATCTTCTGAATTGAAGGCCCCATCACGATTCCCAACTACTGCATTGCATTACATGGCATTTCAGGGCCTTTTATTTTTCTTTTTATTCAGATGATGGCGACACTGCAACTCTTTTTCGTAGCTCATGTGTAGTGTATGTGAGATGGAGAATGAAGAGGAGGGTATTGAGGGTGACATGGCAACCAGATGTGTAATACCTTACCTACTACTAGTATTGTTTCCTCTGTATTTAGCATGCATTGGTAGGGTTTTTTTTTTGTACTGGAGAAGAAGAATCCAAGCTTTGATCTTTTTGCATTGTGATATTTCAGAACAGTATTGAAAAAAAAGACTTTTAGAACCTTGAGCTTTCTTTTCTTGTTTTTGGAACCAACTTGAGCCATGGAGATCAAGACCTGAAGATGAAAAGAATGACAACTTACCATCTGAGTTTTGAGCTATAGGTGTTGAAGATTGATCTTGTCAGGAAAAGAACTTTCAGAGTTACATTCCAGGAGTTAGTGTAAATGTTAAGCTTCTGTAAAACAATTAGCTGTCTTATTTAACAGCTGAGTTATGACCTTAGTAACAGGATTTACTGCCATGTTAATTCATGGGTCCTCCTGCTCTGCTATGTTAGTAGTATATATCTATGACTGCTTCAAGACCCTTTTCTGTGGCATTTATCATGATCCTGTGGACCTCAAGTACCTCACTGGCAAGTCAATCCAGACCTTTATTTCCCCAGCTTTTCTGGTTCCCAATGATTTTAAGCTATTTGATCCGTGCACTGATCACATCTGCATAGTTATGTCAGTATTAAAAACCATGGCTTCACTGTTGCTGAACCCCTGATGCATACTCGTTCGTTTCAAAATATAGCTATTTCTTAAAAAAAAAAATTCACGGAGATTAACAAGATAGGTAAAAAGACTAGGTTATCCTTTATTAATTATCCCAGATGGTGGGATGTGGGTGGGGGTTATGGAAATGAATAGTATTTTGAATATTTCATCACTATAAATACCTATTAGTAGTTTATAAGTAGTTATATTTTAAAACAAAATTTGAACGCTAGAATATATTTTAGGACCGAGTGAGTGAGTATATAATAGCTGCATGCTTTACTGCTGGTCATAGTGTGCCCCAGCAATTATCATTTAACTGATGGATGCCTTTATTTTGTTCAGTCACAGAACTCTCATGGACTTTTTTTTTTCTGTATTGGTATTCTTGCTGTATATCCATCCAATTCAATACGGAACAAGGGTCAAGATTAGGATAGAATACTTTCTGATTCATTACAGGAAGAAGAAGAATTAAAAAAAGACTAGTAGTTGTAGCTTGCAGGCTTATCCAGGAAGGATTTAGGAGACAGGGATATTTTCAACTACTTGCATTGCATACTAAGCAAAGAGAGAGAATATCAGTTTAAGGGTTACTGTCACAACTGATGGCTGGGTTGCTGTCACTTGAGCCCTCTCATGTACTGAAATGAAGCCACATGGCCAAACTGTTAATGAGGTTGTTTTTCATATGATATGATTTCTTTTATAGGTTCAGAACTATGATAACAGTCTTACAGGTGGCTGTCATTTTCATTATGCAACCAGTGTTTGTTGGCAGGAGAATAAAAGTCCTAGATTGCATTGAACACACTAATCCATTTACTTGAGAAATGTGAATTTCTGAAAAAAAAATGATATGCATTCAGTCTCACTGAACAGAAGAAGAATTTATATATAGATGATCAAATCAAGCATCTATTCTTATGTTCATAATAGCCTCATCATCAGGATAGCACTGTAGTTGGATTTCTCTGTTATCATCACTTTGACCTGACATTGTAACAGTACACTTCCAAATTTGAGTGTCAGACATCTCTTTCCCTGATGCTATTTTAAGCTGGAAAAATTATTTTGGCTAAACCTCCAAAAGCATCTGTTGGAGCTGACATGATAAGCCACTTCTTTTTATGAGCATTGCCATGCTAATGAATGAATTAATTGTTCCTAAATTTGTGACCTCCTGCATCGATTTATTTTGTGTAGTTATGATGTGCCACTTTCGGTTATTCACTCTCTCAAGCAACCCATAGCTGTCTAATTGCTGTCCTTGAATTAACCTCTGGAAAAAAAAGGACAAGGATTAGAGACAGCATTAGAAAGGTAGTCTCTGCTTCTTCTGAAAAGACAAAGGAAAGGGACAATACTAACTCTGTAGAATTACTGCTTCCATGCTTGTCTGATCATGGCCACTCATTTTGTTTAACTTCTAAGCAATTATGCAAGCTAATGTTTTCAGACTCAATGTCACATTTTATTTTCCTTGACAAAGGAAAGTAGAAATTTTTCACCTGCTGAAACAACCTTTTTAGAACAGGCAGGATGTAAAATCTACATATTTTGGAGATATCTTTACTTGCAAAAAGTCCAATCAACAAATGTCCTAGTTGTGAAAAAGAATAGATAAACTCTTCAGCAGAATTGGAAGCTGGGATGCTGACCTGGAAAGAGTTTGAGACAATTTCACTAGGGAATATTTCCTTCAAAAAAGAATTTGAGACTTATTTCCTTATATAACTTGTTCAATGATCAAGTACTACAAATTAGACAAGAAAAAATAAATAAATAGCTACAAAGTTTTAAGAGGTCATCTTTGTGTAGGCCTCAAATTATGGCCCAACAGGTAACAAGCGGGGTGCCTGAGAAGACTTGAAAATTGAAACTTATTTAATGGGCTGAGGTGAGATCCAAGCCCAACTCAATTTCACACAATTTGATGTAGCCAAGAGATGAAATTGTCAGCCCAGTAACCATAGCTGAAAAAGATGTGTTGTTTGGATGGCACAAACAAAGTTGAACAAATTTATGCAGCATGGATTTTTTTTCCCATTTAGTTAAGCCTAAATAATCAATCCACCAAAGCTGAAACCACAAACTGCAATCTGAACTAGTCATTTCAGAAAAAACAGTAATCTAACATGCACTCTGAACCTAGTCACTTCAAATCAAAGGGTTAACATCTTGGCCCTTTTGTTAGCTCGCCCAAGCTGAAGTTCTAATCTAACATGGTAATGACACCTGAGTTTTGTTAGGGCCTGTACATATTGGAGAATTATCACTGTTCCTGTGAAATACCTGTCTTCTTGCAGGCAGCATTTTCTTCAGGGCAGGGATTCAGTCCATCCCTATGAAGGTCGAACTGACACATATCATGAGTCATGACCGAGATGTGTTCCAGTTCATTTTTATCTTAATGAATGAATGGATTATGGTTATCTGATTTTGTGGTAATATTTTAGAGGAAAAAACGAATAAATTAACTATTGCTGTTTAAAAAGGTTGTTATAATTAAAATACTATTCTATGAAACGTAACTTATATATAGAACTTCTGAAAAATCAAACCATTTAAAACTTTGGAAAACATGCTCATCATAATCTATCTAGTATATGTATATATGGCCACCTATTTTTATGTCAAGCTAACTCCATGCAGCATCCGAGCCAAGAGCTCTGAGACGGTGAGACCTGCAGGACCAAGGGTAGCTAAAATAAGCGAACTGAGCGTAGCTGGTAAGGTACTTTGTGTTGGCTGCTTACTCCTAGACTTATGTGGATGTTTGTATTTACGGATAATTATTTTTTCAGTGGTAAGTGACGTACCTGTTAACAGTGAGACACGTGCTAATTTTGTCTATCTTAATATATGTTGGCCCGGTTTTCGAATGTGCTCATAGAGATAAGGTATGTGTTTCGCAAAAAAAATATATATATATTAGGAAAGTTATTTGTGCCATCGTAACCAACTCCAGCAAGTCTTGTAAACAAACCCCTCAAACAATTTTTAGGGCTAGGGAAAAAATGAAATCGAGCCTAGAGCTCTAAAATCGGAAAGCCCCTGGCGCTATATCCTACCGTACATACCCCCAATTCCCAAGGCTCTAGACCACAGCCCCCATTCTCCGTTTATTCACGCGGGAGGAAATTTATGGTCTCGTGCCTCCCACTCTTCTTCACCCCATGCGAGAGCCACCACACTGTAGGCCCTATCTAGCCAGTGGCGTCCCTGGCTTGCCCCGTGACTCCGCTGCCCCGAGCTTGGCCACCGATGCCTGCTCCGATTGAGGCTGCTGCCTCCCTGCCCTACTTTAGTGG